ATGTCAAATACATGTCACTTCCTCAACACATGCCAATTTTAATTTCTAAAATATATAACCTAATCACTATCACTATCACTATTGCACGCACGCACGCACGCACACACGCACTCATACACGTGTACATATATATATATATATATATATATATATATATATATATATATATATATATATATATATATATATATATATATATATATATATATTTATATACTGATATATTCATATTTTCATATAATTTTTATACTTAATATTTATATAACTTAATATTTACATCTTTATACACTCTGTTCTTTTTTTTAACTTACATGCCAAATACCAAACGGTATAAGGAATCTCCAAATTCAACGAAGAAACAAATTTTACTTACTTTCCTAGGTTGAGAGCATCAAGAACAGTATCTGGTAAATCCGTGTTCAGTGTTTCTGGCATTACGACGTTCAGAAGGCCAGCGATAAAGGACAAGCCACCAAAGACTATCATTGGTAAAGGAATGTAAATCTCAGCCTGGAATAAGGACAGATACGTTAAGAGAAATCACATGATTTTGAAATATAATTGTAAAACATCACCCAAATTCAAACAAGGACATGAAAATAAAACTATGAAAAAAAGCTATGTCAGTCATGAAATTTCCGTAATTTCAAGCTATTTTCACCAATCTCAAAATTCACTCACTAAATCTGACGAGAAGGGAGCTAACATTGCCCCAAAACGGGCAGCTGTTGAAGATAAGCCCACAACTGTGCTGCGAACATTTGTTGGGAAAATTTCTGAGGTAAAGACATAAATAATGCCAAAGGAACAGGTAATGCAGCACTTCCCAAGCAGGGCAGGAATTAGTACATTTACTTTCCCTGTCTCTGAAAAATAAAATAAATACTTTTAACATCTTTGCTAATCATAGGTTTTTCCTTAGTATTATCAACACACATTTGAAAGAAGAAAAAGAAAAAGTAAAAGAAAAAGAAGAAGACAAAGAAGAAGAAAAGAAAAGAAGAAGAAAAAAAAAAGAGAAAAAGAAAAAGAAAAGAGGAAGAAAAAAAAAGAAAAGAAAAAAAAAGAAGAAAAAGACGATGCAGAATCACAAAACAGTGATGTCAAACACAGCGTTGTGCTCTAAATACATTTCACAAGTAGCTGGAAATATAAATTAGAATTAATTATCACACACCCTGTCCTATGCATTCTAATATATGTTTGGTTCTTTGCCCTATAAATATAGGATCCAATGAATGGAGCAGCAATATGAGACTACAAATGTCATAGCTTTAACCCTTGCAAATCCATTAACTAATGCTCATTGTACAAATGATATTAATGATAGGAAATTATTTGATAAGAGCATTGAAAGTTATCAAAAGTATAAATGCTAAGGTATGGAAAAACTGTAAACAAAAGGCAATTGACCCTTAGCAAAATATGAATGGCTCTGGAATATATCCGTTTTCTGAGGAAACTCTGCATTACTCTTTATCAAGTACTCTTTATCAAGTTTAAAATCCCTAATGAACAATGAAGCTTCCTTGACAGCAGTATGTAGACATATCAAAATCCAAAGGCAATAGTTCCAGATTTTCTATTATTCAATAAAGTAACAGCAATTGTCTTGACCTAGTTTCATAATGAAGATGAATAAACCCACCTTCAGCAAAGCCACTGCCAGCACAGAAAATTCCAGCCAGAATCAGGGAGCTTGCCAGGGAGCCTCGCCTTCCCCATTTACACATACCTAGCCATGCTAGTGAGTAACCTAAAAAAAGAATGAAAAAAATCAATAAAAAAAAAAAGGAAATGCAATAAATAAATAATAGAAAAAAAAAATACAAAAGAGTATTTAATGTAAAACCTTACACTTTCATTTGGGTGAATGTTGGAATGGAAGAAGATTCACAATTTAATAACCTGATTTGACACTTATTCTATTTACAAAAATGTATCTATACTTCACAATACATGCCTGGAACTTCCACAAGGGCAACTAAAATGAAGTTTAAATATGGTCCATAGCTGGTGTCACTGCTGCTTAGACTGGAAGCATTCAAACTGATGCCATAATAAACCAGAGTAGTCACAACCCTGTAATAAGACAAAAAGACAAAAGCTGATAAAAAATAATTCTTCATAATTACTACATATTGTAATATTCCTATACATACAAAATTATAGCATCAGTATCATAACTAAGTGAAATTTCCTCAGTTTTACACAAAATCCTTATATCTTCCTAGGTTACATTTATGCACATGCAACTATACATACACTTCTACATATGCATGAACATGAGCACTTAAACAGAAACATACATTTATTAACTGTAAATTACAGTACAGAATCAAGCCATTACAAAATAAAAAGGCTAAGATGTTAACACCTTACAGTTTAACTAAATCCAATATTTTTTATATTTTATTGCCATATGCATGTATGCAAATAAGAAATATCCTGAACAAGTGTGTCTTACTTCATACAGTGTATTATGTACCTAAACTATGTCATGTATACATGTGCAAAGACAGAATCTTTAAAATCAATAATTTGATAATTTTAGAACAGACTTACCATATGAAAAACATTGAGAACATTCTTACACAAAGAAGAGGTGTTTTAAACAAATCTAGCAGCGTGGGCTTATTTCTCATCTTCTCAATAGCAGTCCCATCTTCTTCTCCTGAATTTTCTTCTTCGCTTTCCTGGAAAGAAAGTAAGCATACATAAATTCACTTTGTATAATACTTAAGCATAAAAAAGGCAGAGAGGATTATTTTGCATAAAGAAAGAAACAGAAAAGAATGAACTATCAACAGAGCCTGCTGTCCACAATTAACTGAGAGTGATACAACATAAAAAACTGTATATTCAACCATTGGTGGTTATTCTTCTCGATTTTTCCAGAATATATTCAAATAATTAACCATTTTTTTCTAATTGCACTGAGACCTACATACCCGCATTAAATGAAGTGGCAAATCCTTGCCATTCCCCTTTGCTATTTTCTGCAAAACAGAGTAAGCCTTTTCTGTTTTTCCTCGAACTAATAGCCATCGGGGAGATTCTGGAATAAACCTAAAAAAGCAGGAGAAAAAAGTATTATTCACTTTACTCTTTCATGGATTGGAGAAAAAATGAAATAAAAAAAAACCCTATTATTTCATCAAAGATGTTTTTTTTCTTTTTTTTTTTGAGTGCTCTCAATTTCCTGATTGCCTTCAAAATGTGAAACTTGAAATGCAAATTGACTAGTCAAGGCATTATAATACCATGAACCAGAAAGAATCAAAATGGGTCACACACATGCACGCACACACACACCTTACCATTTATAAAATATAAAACAGGCGGCTGGGGCAGATATCACAAGCTGGATCATTCTCCAATCTCGAATCCAGAGAGCCACCAGCCCCAGGAGCACCTCTCCCAGGGCAAAGAAGTACTCCCCAATGATACCACACATTACGCGATAATTTGCTCCTACGCACTCCATTCCTGAGGGATAAAGAGGCAGAGAAAAGATATTAAACCATATAATCTTTATCCTGTAGTCATTTTGAATTCTCCAAGTCCTATTACTGAAATATCCAAAATTAATAAATCTTGAAGTGCTCTTGTTCAGATGCTGAAAATATGAATAATATAAGCAAATAAAAGGTCTGCAACATATATCAAATCAAACATAATATAAAATAATACAATAAGAAATAACATAATATAAAATAGTACAATAAGAAATAACATAATATACAATAACACAATAAGAAATAACATAATATAAAATAATACAATAAGAAATAACATAATATAAAATAATACAAGAAATAAAAACAACAATAATAAACTGGGAAATACCTTAAAAACTAAATGTGAAAAAAATCATCAATTACTACATGTAACTCATGCTAACATGTTAAATCTAAAATTGCATACACACAGGGGTAATTATCAATCATGAACAACAAATTGAAATTGTGCATTCCAAGGATTAATCAATTCTATGCAAAGGCATCTGTCAAAATTCCTTAGTCTGCTTATATGAGAAGGTAATCTTACTTGAGCCATAATAAAAAGAGGGGGAAAAAAAAAACCTTTAGAAAAAAAAAAAGGGGTACTAACCTAGCACAAATGACGTCTGAAAGACTGCAGTTGCCATCATTGCATTTACGAATCGCATAACATTAAACACCCTTAAGCTGGTGACCAAGGCTGTGATTACACCGGAGACCACCATGCAAACGAGCCCAATTAAGATTGTCAGCATGCGTCCGATTCTGAAGACAATTCACAAAAATTAAAACATTATAAAACTTATTCAAACTGACAAAAAATAAAAAGCAGCAAAGAAATGAACTAAAGAAAGTAAAAGTAAATAAATAAACAGTGTATAAGAAGAAGAAGAAGAAGAAAAAAAAAATTGTGACAGGTATAATAAGCATGAAAAAGGATTTACCTAAACATTGTCTTCTGTCATATATATATACAAAGAAGATCTAATAACATTCATTACTGTCAATCCATTTGTTAATCAATAAAGCAATTATATAGACATTATATAAGACTCAATGAATATGTGACCATAATCATCTATCTACTATCAGTAATGCAAAATATTGAAAATTCTTCATGAATGATGACTCTTTTCAATGTTATCTCAATATATCTACAACAATCCTGATAACAAGAAAAAAATATTGTTCTCTTTCTTGTCCTTTTATCTATACCTTAGCCTACATTTTTAACCATACACATCATAACACATAACCCTAACCTTAGGGGTCTAAGTGGGGGCTGTCTTTATTGATGATACAATTGCATTCAATAAAATATTCTATTTTGTCTACTTTAAATTTCAACAATGAAGATTTCTACTGAGCTTGAAAACACCATTTAGATGTATAATAAAAATAATTGTATATTTGCTACAATAAATATATTACTTAAATAATAAAAACAAATTCCAAATTTCAGACTACTGAATGTTCTTGTTGGCACCAAAAGGGATTTTAGAAAAGGAATTGGACAATGATGATCAACTCACCTATCAGCAATGAAACCAAAGATGAATGCCCCAGCCAGAACTCCACTGAAGTATATTGTCTGTGCCATATTTGCTTCCCAAGCATCATGACAGGTAAGGTTAAACTGTTAAGAACAGGGTAGGTATAAGCACATTGGATTTCATGCACATAAAAGGACATATAACACACAACCCAAGAAATTTTCAGAATATATTTTTTTTCTAACACCCATGCCAAGAAAGAATGTGATCCTTGTTTTCTTTGTAGGTATCAAGTTGTGTTAATAAGCATATTCTTCTATTAGGTTAATGTATGCATTAACCCTATAAGAATGGCTTTTAACAATGCCAAATCAAACCACACACAGGGCACTGCACGTAGTCAGCCACAAGTGAGAAATCATAAGCATGAGAAGCATATGTTTTCCCACTCTTATGCTTTTAGCTGCAGTATATATGATCCTTTAATAAAAAAAATAAATATTGTTTAGCATGTATAATTTAGAGCAGGTATGGCATTGATATATGGCAAGGATTAAATTATCTGGGTAAGTTAATAAGTACAGTGAATATACATCATGTTAATAAAAATCTAAGGGAAGGTAAGCAATGAAGCAGTTATATAGACAAACTGATTCTCTCTTGGAGTACAGAGGAGGAAGCAAAATGTTCAGTCAACAAATTTCTTTTGACATATAGCAAAGGAAAAGAAGGGAAAGCTAACACACTGAAAAACTGCATGAACTAAATATATCTGGATGTTTTTAATTTTGGAAATAAAATTACTCTACTGTATTCCACCAAAAGTGCTAGTAGGGTCATTCTTAAGAGACATCAGACAACCAGAAAACAATCAATATCCATCAGTCTTTATTGCAAGAAGAAACTTTCATAGGAACTGTGGTCTGAAGCAACCCATAGAAATCTTGTTGAGTGAGATACTAGTGATGTATTGCCATCAGTGGTTTCTAAATGCATATTAAGTTGCACAAGGCAGAGGGCTTAACTTTGGTCATTTTGGCCATTACTTAGAAAAATAGAAAAGTGGCCTCTATTCAGACATCTTGTTATTAAAAAAAAAAGGAATAACTGAAAGACATGTCTGAAAGATAGCAGAAGTACTGACTATCAACTCCATGCACATATACTAGTAATCAGACCAATAACTATACCAAAGGTATGGCCACAATTCAATTAATGGCTACAATCACCTGACTGTAATAATTTCAACAAAGAAGCAAATACATTCTTTGGTAATGAAGCAAGTTATTAGTTTTGTTTGTGATAAAGAATGTTTGGTTTATATCAATTCATCTAAATACAATTTATCTTATGACAGTTGCAACCTACAACTCCATCTCACCAATGACGTAGCATGAAAATATGAGAGAAATTATTTGACTCAACCTTATTCCTCATGGCACATGCCTATGGAAAAATGCTGACTTGCAACTTCATACTCATCTCTCTTCACACTTATATACGTATATTACCTACTATATATCCCATATAAAATCAAAATGCAGTAACATATAAAACATCAGTACTTAAATTCCTTAAAAAATCTAAAAGATCCACAAAAATGCATGCACAAAAACAATAGGCCAACATATAACACACTTAGTTCAATAATGACTTACTTCTGTTACAATTGTTGTAGTATATACAGTAGTCTCAAACACTTTCCCTTCTGGGCAGTCCTCTGTTGTGTTCTCCATGAAGGCTGAAGGAATGCATCCTTCTACTTCATCAATGTGTTTGTAACGTTGACACTTGGAGTAGCCTGATGTTTTGTCGGGGGGAATGGTGAATTCTAAGAATGAGGTATTATAGTGGAGATCTGTAAGATTTGTATCACATGCTGGCACAATGCATCTGTAATAAAAAAGAATAATCACTCTATATACATGCATATGCATGAATAAAGTTATAATAATAACAAAATAACAACATATTCTAATGCCTAAAAAAAAAAGAGGAAGGAAGGGAGAGGGAGAAAGGGTGAGAAGAAAGGAAGAGGGAAGGAAAATTGGGGAAGGTGGAGGGAGCCAGGGGGAAAAGATAGAGGGGAAAGGGTGAGGGGGAGAAAGAAGGGGAAAAGTAGAGGGAGGGAGGGAGGGAGGGAGGGAGGGAGGGAGGGAGGGAGGGAGGGAGGGAGGGAGGGAGGGAGGGAGGGAGAGAGAGAGACATAGAGAGAGAGAGAGAGAGAGAGAGAGAGAGAGAGAGAGAGAGAGAGAGAGAGAGAGAGAGAGAGAGAGAGAGAGAGAGAGAGAGACAAAGAGAGGGAGGGAGAGGAAGGAAGGGGAAGGGAGGGGAAGGGAGGGGAAGGGAGGGGAAGGGAGGGAGAGAGAGAGAGAGAGAGAGAGAGAGAGAGAGAGAGAGAGAGAGAGAGAGAGAGAGAGAGAGAGAGAGAGAGAGAGAGAGAGAGAGAGAGAGAGGAGAGGGGAGAGGAAGGAAGGGGAAGGGAGGGGAAGGGAGGGGAAGGGAGGGGAAGGGAGGGAGAGAGAGAGAGAGAGAGAGAGAGAGAGAGAGAGAGAGAGAGAGAGAGAGAGAGAGAGAGAGAGAGAGAGAGAGAGAATGAGAGAGAGAGAGAGAGAGAGAGAGAGAGAGAGAGAGAGAGAGAGAGAGAGAGAGAGAGAGAGAGAGAGAGAGAGAGAGAGAGAGACAGGAGAGAGAGATAGAGAGACAGGAGAGAGAGATAGAGAGACAGGAGAGAGAGAGAGATAGAGAGACAGGAGAGAGAGAGACAGAGAGACAGGAGAGAGAGAGACAGAGAGACAGGAGAGAGAGAGACAGAGACAGGAGAGAGAGAGACAGAGAGACAGGAGAGAGAGAGACAGAGAGAGAGAGACAGAGAGACAGGAGAGAGAGAGAGAGAGAGAGAGAGAGAGGAGAGAGAGAGAGAGAGAGACAGGAGAGAGAGAGAGAGAGAGACAGGAGAGAGAGAGACAGAGAGACAGGAGAGAGAGAGACAGAGAGACAGGAGAGATAGAGACAGAGAGACAGGAGAGAGAGAGACAGAGAGACAGGAGAGAGAGAGACAGGGAGACAGGAGAGAGAGAGACAGAGAGACAGGAGAGACAGAGACAGAGAGACAGGAGAGACAGAGACAGAGAGACAGAGACAGGAGAGAGAGAGACAGGAGAGAGAGAGAGAGAGAGAGAGAGAGAGAGACAAAGAGAGAGAGAGAGAGAAAGAGAGAGAGAGAGAGACAAAGAGAGAGAGAGAGAGAGAGAGAGAGAGAGAGAGAGAGAGAGAGAGAGAGAGAGAGAGAGAGAGAGAGAGAGAGAGAGAGAGAGAGAGAGATTATTTCATCAGGAATAAAATTTTCAAATTTCACTAAGCAAAGAAAACTTACCTATAATGTTCTGGAGTGGCTCCAATAAACACATATGCCAGGTTTGATGTAGCAACAAAAATGAATGGAAGACACAGTAGGAAGTACACACGTCGCTGATAGGGGCCGAATTCCCCTATCACTTTAAAAATGGCATCCATATCCATGGCCATGTTTCTTGCTATCTCATCTGCAATTAAAATATTATAAATATATATATCATATATATCTTTTAAAACTCAATAAGACTTCATCTTAATAAATACCTAAATGTCTAATGAATACACAAAGATACAGATAATACATAGGCAATAATGCTTCCATACTTTTTTTTTTACTTAATATTTCTGCAATCTGCAACAAAACTACATAAAAACGCAAAAACTGCTTAAAACTGGCCACTGAAACTCTACAGACATCTCCAATATAACAATATACCTCACCTGGATCCTATAGTATTTATATAATGTACTAGCCACATAATACTTAGCCCCCTGGACCCTCATGTTTATTGTATATGATGTCCTCTCCACACACCTAAACTAACAACTCAGCCAAGCCTCCTTAAGCAGATGGGTGATACAGTTTCACTGCAGCAAATACAAACTCATCAGTTTTCTTAGTGTAAATGGCAGAATAATTATTTTGCTTTTACATATAATTCCCTCTCTGAAAATAATATACATATCAACAGAAACTTACCAAAATTTTCTTCAGCACTGTCCATTGACAGATTTGCATGGTATGTAAGAGCACTTTCCTGATATTCTGGATACTTAATGGGCTTATCACACTATGATGGATATTAATATCTATTTCTTCAACATGGTCACTACATTACTTTAAAAAGGGCCCATAATCAACACAACAGTATATAAAAAAAAATCTTGATGTTGCTTGTCACAAGACTGTAAAAATCTGTATAAACAACTATTCAAGAAAAAAATAGTATAAAAATAATGAAAAATACAGGAAATACATAAGTATGGAAGAGCAGGCATTGATAGTTACATTATACTGATTTTCACAAGTGCATATTAACACATAAGCTGCATAACATATCACAATAATGAGTAATGCAGTCAGCATAGTACTTGAAACCACAGAGTAAATATCTTGAGGAACTTAGAGAAAATTAGTAGCAACAAGAAGTTAAAATGCTGATTACTAATACAATATGTGTGCATTCCCTTATTTCATTATCATGGTGTTTATTACAACATACAGAATAGGAATATAAAATGTTCTTTAAAATACAGCAAACACTGATCTCCTCTAGTTATACCAAATCATGCATTAATGGCCATACATTAATGTGCTCCATACATGCACAGATGGCTCCAAAAGAGTTTAGACATAAAGGAGTCACGCAAACCTGATACAATCTAATATCATCTCTCCATGACTTTTCATTTTTTTTTTTTTTTTTTTTTTTTTTTACTAATGCTATCAATGTCAATGCTGTTATTATTATCACAGACATTGTTTATAATATAATATTATTGACATCATTAACAGTAATATATGATACAAGAAAATATTCCCAAAAATCAAGGAAAACCGTGAACAGGTGAGGTTGGTAGTATTAGTACCGGTACCTGGCTCATTGGTGAATTATTACTTATAGAGCAATCTATGTAAAACAATTAAACTAAACTCACAGTGGGCATAGCATTTATGTACATGCCATCCCCAATGTCTTGGGTTAATATCATCTGCAAGGGGAAATAAAAAGAGATTCACACATATTACAATTTAAATAATTGAAACAAGGAATAATTGCAAGATTGGAGTACCCTAGATAGATGGCTGTGTGCAACTAAAACATTACTTTAAGAAAGACCCCTCTGTTATTATATGTGCCATTAACTTCTGATTTAACATTACTGTTAGTGTCCCATGGTCAACAATTTTCAAAATGACCTTTGCTGAAATTCAAAAATCAAATTACGGTCAATAAGTAGAAGAGGATAGTGGGTTACTTTCGAAACAATTTTGACATTTTTCTGCATGAAATCTACTGCTTTCAACGATTCTAGGCATTGTTCCTTGTGCAAATGAATTGTTGAGGAGATGTGATCACCATCTCCATCAACAATCTTGATTTGATAGTCCCAATAGCAGGGGTGGGCATGAAGTATATCAGGGAAATTATGGGGAAAACAGGACCCCCGTGGTTGTTAAACAAAACGTCCTAACCCAACACCCAACCTAACCTAACACCGTGGTAAATAGTTTCTAGCCAGGGGGTGGTCCCCATGGTAATATATATGCCTAGCCAGGGGGCTATGCCCTCTGGACCCCCTGTGGTAGTATATGCGTCTAGAATTCACCCTCGCAATGTAAACAAGATGAGCAATATAGCCAAAATTGGGGGATCTTCTCTCTTCTTTTACGTATAGCAGCCTTGGGAAGCATTTGCACACATATTGCCATAAAGAACTTTGTCTTGGTTTGTATTGTTCTATCATTACATGTAGGTTTTATTACCCAACTCTGCCACTACCTTATACTACATATTGTCCCAAATTACCAATCATCAAAAATTAGTGTAGAAGTTCAAACTAAATGATTAAACCATAATAAACTGCAGATATTAATATGACCTAGAGCACAGAGATAGAGAGAAATGGACCCTATCATCTTATTGAGCATGAGAAATAGTCATGAACAGCACAGCTACAGCTGCAGCAGCCTCATGCTTACCACGAAATGCTAAAATAACTGCTACACATTACTGCTCAGACACCACAACACTCTCACACAGCCGGAGTTCTAAATGTCGCGTTTTATGTAATTTGACAAATGCTAATGAAGGGGTGGTTAAGGGGGTAAGCCACCCCCTTTATAGAAAATAAAAAGAAGGTAAAAAGGTGAGGTTTAAAATTTTTAGTTCGCATGATACCCTGATTTTAGAACTTTGTCTCTGGATGGTGCGTGGGTTTCGGTAACAAATACCATTATGACAACGTAGTGTCATGGGTTTATCTGCATGACGAAAAGGAAACTTCTCATTTATTTCTTCGTCTCTATACCATTATAGCCAAAGAAAACACAATATCTATTTTTCCATCTGCAAATACTATCGGTAAACTAAATTAATTAACTTAACAAAGTCCTCTTACCTGCATGAATCTTTCATAGCCTGACGAAATGTATGTCATTCACCCTGACTCAGTCAGCGTCGCGGCCTCCTTCCTCCTTGACAAGACGAAGGTAAACAAAGCTGAGGTGAGCAGATAGAGATCGCGAGTTCAAACTATGTGTAGTGTTTTCAATTTTATTTACACAGTAATGTCTAAATTTAGCATGAAATGTTTTATCTATTGAATTATATTATTTGAAGTGATTTTAAATTAACAAGATTGTTAATTAATTGCGATACCAAAGAAAATAGTGTGGCAATTCTTTGAAATTGCAATAGTTCTGCGACCTCTATTATGGAACTTTTTTTCGCTCCAAGTAAAAATTAAGATAGTATCCTTATTATCATTATCATTATTATTCAAATTGATAATTGCAAACATTCTCCAGTTTTGTTGATGAAACTAAACTCTTAACATCAGGCGATTAATTCTTTCATTATTTCTCTCCGCTCTTACAATCAGCTCAAAAGATAAAGTCCTTATAATGAAAATTATGTTATATTACCGTATGCATTAAAATCATCATCATTATGCATCGAAAGTAACCGCATGTAGTAAGTTTTTTTTCATTTTTAGTGTCCCTCAAGAAACACAACTTTCATTTCTCGCTTCGGATTGAAATTGTCGCTTAACAGACAAAATGGTCTCTAATCTCAAATATTTGGTTATAAGCTTCCCATTTCTCACGAATACATCTGATGTTGACTTTCATGTCAGCTTGTGGGTCAGGGAAACAACACCACAAGTAACAACTGCCTAGACCCCCTCTGTTTAAACACTCTTGTTAGTAGTGCACCATTAGAGTCGCAACATATTAGCGAAACGCCATTTAAGGATCATCTTAATAAATCTGGCGGTCCATCGAACTTAGGAGCAAGGTCTATATACTTAAATAGACCTTGCTTGGAAGTGCGCTGTAAAAATTACCGCCGGCACACTTGTTGGTCATAATCCTCTGCATTTGGTGGCGTCGCGAGCTTGAGCACATGTCTAATTTATTTGTATCTTCATTCGAACATATTCATTAACTGTGTCCGTTTTTTTCTCTTTTTATATATCAGTTACTATATGTTGATATTTGTATCTTGAGGTTGAACTAAAACAGATCCGTATCTATTTTCATTATATTCCGGTCTCAAATTACAGAAGGAGACTGGATTTGAAAATTGAAAGGATAAAAAACAGAAAGAAACTGCGCCCACGTGACTAACAGACTTTCCGGGAGAAAATCCATGCAAGTGTGCGTTCAGTACGTGTCTAGCAGAGGCATGTTAAACAGATATGTATCATACTATCAGTAAGAGGTAAAATTACCCAACGTAACGAATGTTGCAGGTAAAAGATAAGAAACATGTAAATGATGATCTTAAAAAAAGGCTGGTTAAGCCATGAAGCACACAAGGCACAGCGGAAACAACAAACGGTCCACAGAACGCATATAAGGACAAGCAACGGATATGACACCATCATGAGTGACATGTGCATGATCTACACGCAACAGTTGCCGGCACAGGATATATATAACTCGGTTAAACGCTGCAATTAACTTATGTGAAGGTATGTCCGTGCCTGTGGATGAGCACTGTGGCGGATCAAGAGAAACATGTACTGGGGAACGGAGGTCAATGGCGAAGTGCCCAGATACCTTGGTCACCCACCCGTTTAATGCAGGTACTCTAGCCTCCCTAGGGGTCTCTATATAATTTCCAATAACAAGACGTTAAGTACATTTTGAGTAACAAAAGGGGCAAAACAGATCTATGGTCATAAAGACCTTTCGCGAGAAAAAAGGGAGGGTGTGTGTGTGTGTGTGAGAGAGAGAGAGAGAGTGTGTGTGTGTGTGTGTGTGTGTGTGTGTGTGTGTGTGTGTGTGTGTGTGTGTGTGTGTGTGTGTGTGTGTGTGTGTGTGTGTGTGCTGGCTAGTACTCCTCGCAATAACATTTCCATTTATATGATATGGTGGTAACCACGAGGATGCGCTGCAGTAGTCTTGATGATGGAGAGTCTATGAGTTGTCAGGAGAACCACACCATCGCTTCACACACTATGAACATGTGTTTATGTATGTATGCATATATATATATATATATATATATATATATATATATATATATATATATATATATATATATATATATATGTGTGTGTGTGTGTGTGTGTGTGTGTGTGTATGTGTGTGTGTGTGTGTGTGTGTGTGTGTGTGTGTGTGTGTGTATACGTATATACTATATATATGCATGTATGTATATAATACACACACACACTAACAAACACACACACATATATATATATATCTGCTGGATAAAAATCATAATGCCCAAATGCGTACAGATATACACAGAATCACTCCAAAGTGAGATATATATATATATATATATATATATATATATATATATATATATATATATATATGTATATATATATATATATATATATACATATATATATACATATATATTCATACTCTTAAAGGTAAATGGGACTCTCTCAGCGTTGCAAAATAATCTGAAACAATAGAATGGAAGATCAACTAATACTGATTACTTTCAGTATTACCGCGGTGCTGTGGGAGTTGTTTCAGATAACGAGTTGTTTTTATGATCAAGTGCACAGTGTATGCCCTGTTTGATAGGTAAATTATCTTAGGTTATATGCATATGTGTGTATATATATATATATATATATATATATATATATATATATATATATATATATATATATATATATGTGTGTGTGTGTGTGTGTGTGTGTGTGTGTGTGTGTGTGTGTGGTTGTGTATATATATATATATAAATATATATATATATATATATATATATATATATATATATATATATATATATATATATATTTATATATATATATATATATATATATATATACATATATATATATATATATATGTGTGTGTGTGTGTGTGTGTGTGTGTGTGTGTGTGTGTGTGTGTGTGTGTGTGTGTGTGTGTGTGTGTCTGTGATATCCCAATCTTATGAGAGAGGGACGGGTTTTGCTAAATAAAGCTACCAGTAAGCGGAGTTTCACTTTCGAAAAGTGGCATCCCATCTTGCAGAGAGGGGATGTCTGGGTGCTTCGTCTCCCTGCAGTCGAAGCAGCGGGCATTATGGTTACCCATTTTGCGTGGATCGGTGGTGTTGCGGTCACCAGTGGCGGTACCGGTCGTATTCAGTGGTGGTGCCTTCAAGAGGAGAGTTGGTGCTGCTTCGGCTGCCGGGAAAGGAGTGTATATATATATATATATATATATATATATATATATATATATATATATATATATATATATAAAAACACACACACACACACACACACACACACACACACACACACACACACACATATATATATATATATATAAATATATATATAAATATATATGTATGTATATATATATGTGTGTGTGTATTTATATTTATATTTATACACATACACACACATACATGCCTACACACACACACATACATGTACATATATATAAATGCACACACACACACATATACACTCACACTCATACATACACACACACACTATAATGGTCTCTAATTCAAATGTACAGAAAACCACTATATTATCTGGAGGTCCAGAGAACTCAGTATCTGTTTAACAGCTTTATTGATAAACAGATACGTAGTAGGCGGAAATATGTAAATGGTAGTCGTGGCGGACGGCGGCGTCAACTCCTACGAGAGGCGAGAGGGAAGGTGTTCGCGGTTAGGGGTCAGGACTCGTTCTGCTTCCTTCGGGTCAGGTTGGGACAGCGCGGCGTGACCACGTGTTTTCGCCGGAGTGAGGTCAGGTCAGCCAGCTACCCCAGCCTGGTCCTCGGATAATTAATGAATGTCACACACACACACACACACACACACACACACACACACACACACACACACACACACACACACACACACACACACACACACACACACACACACACAATATATATATACATATTGTGAGCGACTCGAGAGATGGACTTAAGGGGGATAATGAAAGTGGCCTTGGCTTTTGGCTTTATTCGCTACAAGGTGAGAGGATGCAAGTTGAGCTGCTGCTGCTGAGGTATGGAGAATGTCCCCCTTTTATTCAGCAGTTACATCCTGGGCGGTACTTGTTTCCGCAGGCTGGTATGTTAGGTTTATGAGGCCGTGACAAGAGGGGCGAGTCACTGGGCTTGTTCGAGGAGGACATGTAGGTCACCTAGGAGGTCCTTGGGTAAACCAGGCTCAGGAGTGGAAGGTGCGAATGGCTGCTTCTTGTGATAAGGTGGACTCAGGAGGCAGCAACAGGAAGGTGCAGCCTTTGTTCAGCCAGGTACATATGCATGGAGCACCACCTTCCGGGTGTTGTTTATAACTCTCAAAGCCAAGGCCACTTTCATTATCCGCCTTAAGTCCATCTCTCTTGTTGCTCACATCTGGTGGCAGCAGTGGGATGGCGCAGCCTTTGTTCAGCCAGGGACAGATGTATGGAGCACCATCTTCCGGATGTTGTTTATATCACTCAAAGCCAAGGCCACTTTCATTATCCGCCTTAACCCATTCGCCCCCTGTGGCAAGAATATATTTCATGCCCACTGCAATATACGTTTATTTATTGTATTTACACATAGATGGCTCTACAAGTTCTTAATCACCAAATAGCCAGTTTATCTGAACTACCTATCTCACCTGTTTACCCTTTTCCTTCACTTTACGAAATGGTCTTTTGTATCATTTCATTGTCTAAAATATTTTATTGACAGTTTAATAATCATAACATTATAACATCAATAGCAATGGTATTAATAAGAAAAACACATTTTCCGGACAATTCAAGGAATGGGGAAATTAGGATCGGTAACTAGGCCGGCTGAGCACATCTCTCGAGTCGCTCACATCTGGTGGCAGCAGTGGGATGGTGCAGCCGGCTAACACGGCTTATACACACATACACATACACTCACACACACACACACACACACACGCACGCACGCACGCACGCACGCACGCACGCACACACACACACACACACACACACACACACACACACACACACACACACACACACACACACACAAGACCTATAAAATTATCTTGCTCA